CCTGTAGGTAGCTCTTTGAGATGTTGTTTTTCAGTGACTGTGTATTGGCATATTTTCTGGTTGCATTTTCTGTATACTTTTGAAAACTGGGCGTTGCCTGTGCTTGTGAGATTTCCTGATGCTGACCCAAATAACTCTAAAGAGGCTAGTATCCCATCACCAAGCCACCCTTCATTTACAAATGAACTGTCCTTGAATATAAGATAACAAGGTGTGGAGCTGGATGAACACAGCAGGCCAAGCAGCATCATAAGAGCAGGAAGGCTGACGTTTCGGGCCTAGACCCTTCATCAGAAACAGGGGAAGGGAAGGGGGTTCTGAAATAAATAGGGAGAGAGGGGGAGGTGGATAGAAGATGGATAGAGGAGAAGATAGGTGGAGAGGAAACAGACAGGTCAAAGAGGCGGGGATGGAGCCAGTAAAGGTGAGTGTAGGTGGGGAGGTAGGGAGGAGATAGGTCAGTCCAGGGAGGACGGATAGGTCAAGGGGGCAGGATGAGGTTAGTAGGTAGGAAATGGGGGTGCGGCTTGAGGTGGGAGGAGGGGATAGGTGGGAGGAAGAACAGGTTAGGGAGGCGGGGACGAGCTGGGCTGGTTTTGGGATGCGGTAGGGGGAGGGGAGATTTTGAAGCTTGTGAAATCCACATTGATACCATTAGGCTGCAGAGTTCCCAAGCAGAATATGAGGTGCTGTTCCTGCAACCTTCGGGTGGCATTGTTGTGGCACTGCAGGAGGCCCAGGATGGACATGTCGTCTGAGGAATGGGAGGGGGAGTTGAAATGGTTCGCGACTGGGAGGTGCAGTTGTTTATTGCGAACCGAGTGTAGGTGTTCTGCAAAGCGGTCCCCGAGCCTCCACTTGGTTTCCCCGATGTAGAGGAGGCCACAACGGGTACAGCGGATGCAGTATACTACATTAGCAGATGTGCAGGTGAACATCTGCTTGATGTGGAAAGTCTTTTTGGGGCCTGGGATGGGGGTGAGGGAGGAGGTGTGGGGGCAAGTGTAGCACTTCCTGCGGTTGCAGGGAAAAGTGCCGGGTGTGGTGGGGCTGGAGGGGAGTGTGGAGCGGCCAAGGGAGTCACGGAGAGAGTGGTCCCTCTGGAAAGCAGATAAGGGTGGGGAGGGAAAATGTTTTTGGTGGTGGGGTCAGATTGCAGATGGTCTTTGGTGGGGGGGTCGGATTGCAGATGGTTCTTTGGTGATGGGGTCGGATTGCAGATTGCCGTCCTCCCTGGACTGACCTATCTCCTCCCTACTACCCCACCTAACACTCACCTTTACTGGCTCCATCCCCGCCTCTTTGACCTGTCTGTTTCCTCTCCACATATCTTCTCCTCTATCCATCTTCTATCCACCTCCCCCTCTCTCCCTATTTATTTCAGAACCCCCTTCCCCTCCCCTCCCCCGTTTCTGATGAAGGGTCTAGGCCCGAAACGTCAGCCTTCCTGCTCCTATGATGCTGCTTGGCCTGCTGTGTTCATCCAGCTGTACACCTTGTTATCTCAGATTCTCCAGCATCTGTAGTTCCTACTATCTCTGTCCTTGAAAATAGCTCAGGTAGGTCACTTGGAGGTCATGGAACACATTTCCCCTTCTTAGGCGTATGCCTGCCTTAAAAAAATGCCTTAGAACGATATCCAAGTGTTCCTTATTAGTTTTTCCAGTTATCAGAATGTCACCTAGGTAAATGGTGACCTGAGGTAGACCTTGCAAAATGTTCTTCATTGTCTGTTGAAAAATTGAACAGTCTGACGATACCCCAAATGGCAGTCTTGTATATTGGTACAAGCCCTTCTGGGTATTAATTGTAGCATACTTCTGGCAATCCTGGTCTAAACGCAATTGCAAGTAAGCATGGCTCATGTCCAGCTCCGTGAAGGACAGTCCCCCCCAGCTGCCACTATTTATCTAGCTGCAAAAACAGTTTACCATTTGTTTAAAATCCCTACAAAGGCAAATTGACCCATCAGACTTCAAAGTATATACAAACGGTGCTGCCATTCCACAATTGGACTGGTTTGATGATTCCTTCACTTCCCAGCCTTCTGATGTCTGCCTCTACTTTTGCCCGTAAGGGCCTTACAGAATCTCAGAATTTCTTCCCGAACATGCAAAGTTGCTTTGGCTCCTTTGATAGACCCTAGACCTTCCTGGAAGACTTCTAGATATTTAATTCGGGATTCAATCAGGCAGCCAATGTTGAAAAATGTTCCGCCAATCTAGGTGAATCTCTCACAATTAATTTCATGCCATTAAGCTTGAGCCAGAGCCCTTTACAACAATCACTGGTAACTGAATCAGTTGCTTTTCCTAAGAGACTGAAACCAAATTTGTACCCTTATTTTGTCTAGCTTCTGATTTTGTATCTTTCTTCGAAGTCATTGTTTCTTAAAAAGTTGTTTTCCTTCAGATGTCCAACTGTTTTATTCGGCCCATCACTAAATTTAATTCTTCTTGGCAATATTATTTCTGATGCTATATTTTTCTAATATGATGATTTATTTTCCTCACATAAAAGGCTTTTAATTTTTTATGGCTGCTACTCAGAGCTGCTACTGGAGTATTTTCTCATACTTACATAATGAAATGAGGATTTGTGATTCTGTGGCTAAAATGGAGGACAAATGGAGGAATCTGCCTTTTCTCCAGATGAATCCCAGTGTTTGCAGCCCAAATAGATGATTCCTATTCCTTTCACAGCTTTAATTCCCACTCCCTGTAACTTTAACAACATTACTCAATTCTATTCATGGATTTTTTTCTGGCTGATTACCACTTTCTGAATCTGGATTAATAATTCCCATTTCTTTTACGGCTTCCTTGATTGATGTCAAGTGTCTGTGGTTTCAATAAAACGCTTCTTGGCTTAACATGATTCTTATAATAGACCTCACTGTCTTTTCTGTGGACTTAATAAAATCTACGACCTTTCTTCTTCCATTTGTTGATTACTTAGGTTTGAATATAGCCTTTTATCAGTATAATTCTATCATCACCATGTACCTGGGTCTGCTACCTTGGTTTGAATTGCTTCTGTGGTGCTTGATTTCCCTTACTGCAGTCACACCTTGCTATGGTGGTAATGTTTTGACTGAGCTTAAGTACTTTACTTTCAGCTTTCCCAGGCTGTAATTCTCCACTTTTTAAAAGGTTTTCCCTTGCCCATTATGGAATTTACTTCATTCATAGAACCTTCGATGTTTGCTCGCTGAATTGCTGAATCCCAGCTTGGGATTGCACTTGTAGATCCCCAAAATCCGATGCAATCTGTAAAAGCTTTAGAGTAACACCAGCTCCAGGGAGTTTCTAACTCTCCTGTAGCAAAGCATCTCCTACCAGATATGAAATACATTTATCAATGACACGTTCTTTATTGTTGAAGCTTGCCACCATTTTTTCCTTCTGTAAGGTTCTTAAGTATCCAGCTTTTCCTTGATGGAAGCCAAGTGCACAGGTTTTATATTCAGTTGCAGTATTTAAATGCAATTGTTAAACGTCACTCATGTAGCAGTAAGGCACTGCTATTTTTGGAATCATCATAAGTTAAAGATTTTATCAAAGTATATAAAATTCCCCAATTTTCCTATCCTTATAGATGCAGGTTAATAGAAATCACAGATCTGGCTTCTGTACATAACAAGAATTATTATATAATATAAAATGAATAGGTTCTAGCTACAGGTAAACAACTATGAACTGTCACCATATAACTCTGCTAATTAATTACTTACTCCCCTTGTAAAACGCATACATGCAGACAGATACAAACCGATCAAAAACTTTGTGTTACGAGTGGTGGGAAAAACTGGGAAGACAATTTAATGACCCTTGTCCATAATGTTCAAAGAGTTGAACCTTTTATTTGACAGGACTTGCTGTCCTTCAATCTCTCTTGTCCAGGTACTTTTCACTTTCTTGCAGTGACTTGTCCACAAATTATAAGGTCTCAGGCTGATTTGTTAAAAGCAATAACTTTCAAAACTGGTGGGAAGAGGTAAGAGGCTTTCTTCAACTTCAGGTATTTTCCAATGCAGAGAGACCACCAATTCCCCTTCCAGAGGTCCAAAGGCTGTTCACAAGCTGTTCAGCTACCCAGGAGTCATGTAGTTGTTGTCAGTCTGATGGCTTTTGTCATCAATAACTGATCTTCAATGCACAATCCAATCAGATCTTACTGCTGGTTGAATCTCACTTTGTACATCCCTGATGCCAGTTGCCTGAAAAAAACCACCCCTCCCACTGATTGAACAAAGCAGTGGTGTAAACACCACTTATAATGAGTTTCATATCTTGCTATTAAAAAGTGCAGCAAACCCTACCACAATCGTTGGTTATAAATCGTTTCACACATTTCAGCCCATAATCAAAAATCAACAGTGATATGATCAGACAGTTTCTTTGGAATGGGTATTAAAAAAGAATCTTCACCTTCCCTGTATTAGTGCTCCAATTGACAATAAAGAAAGATTGAGTATACCCACAACTTAAGTTACATTGTGCATGCTGTGTAATTACTTGTTTGTACATAGGAAGGATTGTGAGGCAGAAACTAAAAATACTGGAAATATTCACAAGTTTGGCAAGATCTGTGGGGAGGGAAAAGAGCTAATGTTTTACATTGATGACTTTCATCAGAATTGGATTTTGAGCTGCCAACTTTGGGAGTGCCATTCCACATACGGTAACATCAAATTACTACCTATTCCAATCCTCTTTACCAGCACTTAAACTATGGTCTCACGTGCTGTGGCCTTTCAAGTTCATCTAAATCATCATTATATGTCTTAAGGGGTTTCTGCCAACTGTCAGCCAGCCGATGTATTTCTTAGGGGGAAAAATCAATTTTATCATGATACATTTGATTAGATGGACGCTGACCTCAAAAGAAGTTAGATAATGTCAAGCAGCAGCGAGGCTAAGAGGCCTGCTGTGTTCATCCAGCCCTGCACCTTGTTGTCTCTTGAGCACAGAAACGGCTGGCTCACTGGGTAAGGGGAGCATGCGTGCTCGCGTCATTCTGGGCACGGACGGCGCGGAGAAGCGAAGAACAATGGCTGGGAATGTGGATCAGATGGTGACGGTCGGAGAGGAAGGGAGGATCATCTCCAGGTCAGACAGGTACTAACACAGGACAAAGGATGACCGATAGGAGGGGACTGTTTTTCTCAGTAAGAGGCACGGTGAACTGCGGGGTATTTTTTTCACAGCGCTTTGCGCCCGGGATGGGAAGCGTGATGAGCAGGAGCAGGCCTTCCTGCTGGCTCTGATCTGGTAGGTGTGCCGGGTGCGTGGTGGTGTGCCGTCAGGGCGCCCCGTACGTTTTCCAGGGACACTGGGGGCATACGGTCCGAGTGGAGTGTGAAACAGCTCCCGTTCCCTCATCCAACACTCCCTCCCGCCCTCCAGGTTTCAAACCGTCAGTCTTTATGGGGAATGAACTTTCACTGATGTTATTGCAGTTTATTTCTATATATACCTAGTCCCGGAAAGAAGGTCGATACAGCAACATGTCCATCCTCGGTTGTATCAAATGCATCCCCCTGCACCACCGTTGAAATGGGGCAGTCAACCTTAAAGTGCCGAATGTCCGCCAGTGTAGAAGTGCAGGGCGAAACGCATGGACGCTGTCAGTCGGAAACAAACAACAGTGCTGGAGAAACTGAGCAGTCAGGCAGTACCTGTGGAGAGACTAACTCGGAGCTAACATTCCGAATCCAGCGTGACTCTTCAGAAATCTGTCCAGCATGCTCTGTTTATTTCAGATTTTGTGTTTTGCTTTCTCTGGCAGTAGCTCTGATTCTACTGCCTTTGATTGCTATTAGCTAAATAGTCCGATCAGTGGTTTGTACAATACTGGAAATTTTCGTTACATTTAGGTCACCTTGCAGCTTTTTTTGTCCTGAGAATGAATTTGAAATTGAACCACGTTCCCGGAAGTGGCTACAGAACGTTAGGGACCTTTTAAGTGGTTGTCAATTTCAAAGATAAATTTGTGCGTCTAGAAGCTTGACATCATCTAGGACTAAACTGGATTGGCACCACGTTCACAAAGATCTCACTCACTGCTTGCTTCGTAGCAGCAGTGCGCACCATCCACTGCAGCTGACTTGGAAATATAATGCTGTTCCTTTTGTGTCTCTGGGGCAAAATCTTGGAACCGCCTCCCGAAAGATATTGTGGATGTACCAGATGATTTGCAGCAGTTCAAGAAGCCCACCACCATATTCTCGTGGGAAGCTGGGAATGGGCAATAAATGCTGGCCTAACCAATGTTGCCAATATTTTGTTAGTGAATAAAAAGAGGTTAAATTATTTTATTTCCAAAGACAGGAATCTACAAACATAGAACCATACAGTATATGAACGGGCCTTTCGGCCCACAATGTCCTACCAAACATGATCCCAAATTAAACTAATCCCTTCTGCCTGTCCATATCCAGCCATTCCTTTGCATATTCATATGCTTATCTAAAAGTTACTTTCTAGACACCGACCACTCTGTGAAAAGTAAAAAGCATTGTATATCTCATATAATGTTTTGTGCAGCAAGTTGTTACAATCCAGAATGCACAGCATAGAAGTTTCAGTAGCAACTGTTAAACAAGAATTCAAGAAATGCTTAGAACCATAAAACAATAGTAAAGTTAAAGCACAGTCCATTGTGTCTGCCAGCTGTTCGTTCTAATCTCACTTACCAGCACCTGCTGCACAGTCTTGCAGGTTGCAGTGCTCAGGTGCAGATCCAAGGCTCTTTTAAATACGTTCTGGATTTCCGTCTACCACCAAACTGGGCAGCAAAATACAGGCCAGCAACACCCTCTGGATGAAAAAGTTTTTCCTCATGTCCCCTCTAAAGCTATCTATTCATTCCTCATGGCTGCAATTTACTAAACTTGGCAACATTCAAATAAATCTTTTCCCTTCAGTCTATCTCTGTCTTTTGTTCTCTCTCCCTCTCTCTATCCTTCTCTCTTTTTGTTTCACTTCTTTTTCTCTCTTTTTGTCTTGCTTTTTTTCTCTCTCCCTTCTTTTCTCTTTCTCTCATTCTCTTTCTTCTCTCTCAAGTAATTATGTCCTTCCTGTATACAAAACTCTAGCTGTGACCAAACACGTATCATGTATGCTCCCAGCATTGCATCTCTCCTTTTGTATTCATTATCTAATGAAAGAAAGCATCCCAGATGCATTATTTACCACCTTTTCTACTTGTTCTGTCACATGCATTTCAAGGCATCTCATCCTCCTGTTTATTGGATGTTCCTTTTTTTTTGTCTGCCCCCATACATAATCTTGCATTTCTCCAGATTGAATTCCATTTGCCATTTCTGTGCCTACTCAACCAAACCATTGATATTATCCTACAGTCAGCAGCCATCCTCCTTCATTCTCAACCACCCAGCTGCTTTTTGCATTGTCTGCAAATTTCTCAATCATTTAAGACTGATCCTTATTATACATCACAGACAGCACTCTGCTCTGTCGAATGCCATTGGAAACTGTTTTCCACATACAAAAAAGTCAATAGACCATTAGTTTTTTTTTCCTGTCACAGCCAATTTTGGATCCAACTTACCATATTCTTCAGTATCCCATGGGCTTTAGTTTTTCTACCAGTCTGCCATGTAGGACCTTGTCAAGTGCCTTACAAAAATGCATTTAGACAATATCCATTGCACTACCCTCAACAATTTGCCTGTTACTTCTTCAAAAAAATTCTGTTTAGTAATCTAAGACCTTCCCTTAAAACCGTGCTAACTATCCTGGATTATTCCATGCCTTTCTAAATAACAGTTAGTTCCATCTCTCAATGTGATTCTAGTAATTTCCCACTCTGAGGTCAGGCTAATTAGCTTTTAATTATTTGGCCTATTCCTCACAGATTTCCAATCCTATTGTCCTTGAGGGGAAAAATTTACAGGACTATTAGGAATTAGCAGGGGAGTTGGAATATTGGATAGCACTTTCAAAGATTTGGCACGGGTGTGATTTGTGCAGTGTTTGCACAGCTTGCTGTTGATGCAGTAACCCTTAAGAAGTTATGTGCAGACAAAATCCTTGCATCAGCCCCTGTATTGAGCCACTAAATTTCAAGCATTTCCCAGGCCTCCTTTGAAGAGCGACTGAAATTGTGCTTAGAGGGAATCCCATAATTCTTTGTTTACATCACTGTAATGTACTGTGGAATTAAATTAGTTTGTCAAGTAAGTTTGGGATTTTTTTTAACTGCAGTGAAACGCAGTATAAGCCCAAGATCTCCTGCACGTGTAGAAGAAGCCTGACCTAATGAAAAAAGATCAAAAGAAAATTGTGTAATATGTAATCCTTGTACAAACCAGAGAGCCCATTACTACCAAAACATGATGTGTTTGCTTTCTTAATACTTGATTCTAACTCGTGGCACATCTTTTGATACTATTAAACAAGACAACACCTTTAAATGTTCTAGTAAAACCTTTGCCATTCTGAATTCATTGCATTGTTATGAAATTATACAAGAATGCTTCCACAGCTAAGCTATCAGAAAAATTCTTCTTTTAGTGGCACAAATGAAGCTAGCCTAGGAATTCAGTGTTGGCTCTGCATATGCTGTTTCTGCACACCACTTTAGACATAACTTTAACAAATTACGGGTTCTTGATTTTGTTTTTTAAAAGAAGTATTTTTCTTAAGTAACGAAGATCCCTAGCTTAATTAAGTTCTCTTTAGGAGTGTAACTAACTTAATCCAGAGAGAAGTCATGACAGGAGACTTAACGTTTATGGTGTGCTGCTCTTGCGCAGTGTGGGAAATAAGGGATGCTTCCAGTGTCCCTGAGACTACATGTGCAAGAAATGTGTCCGGCTGTAGCTAGTGGCTAACTGCTTTTTTGAGCTGGAGCTGGAGCTGGAGTTGCAGATGGACTCATTGTGGAGCATCCGCAATGCTGAGAGTGTCATGGATAGCAAGTTTAGCGAAGTGGTCACATCCAGGTGAGGATTACACAGGCAGGAAGTGGACCATTGCACAAAATAAAAGGCTCAGAAAGGAAGTGCAAGAGTGCAGTTCCTCTCTCAGACAGATATATCGCTTTGGATGCTGTTTAATGGTGGATGGTCTCTCGGGGCTGGGGAGAAAGCAGCATCAGCCAAATTCATGGTATGATGGGTGTCTCTACTGCACAGAAGGAGGGGAAAACAAGCAGCAGGCTATACTGATAAGGGATTCAATAGTAACAGGTTCAGACAGTCACTTCTGTCGCAGCAGATGTGAATCTAGGATGGTATGTTGCCATCCTGGTGCCAGGATCGGGGATGTCACTGAGGGGTTGCAGGATATTCTGGAGTGGGAGGGTGACCAGCCAGTGGTTGTGGTACACATAGGTACCAACAACACAGGTGGACAAAGGGATGAGGACCTGAAAGCTGAATGTTTAAAGTTGAGATAAATTAAAATGCAGGATCTCAAATGTAGTAATCTCAGGATCACTTGCTAGCGAGAGTAGGAATAAAAGGATAGATCAGATGAATGCATGGCTGGAGAAATAGTGTACCAGGGAGGGGTTTAGATTCTTGAGGCATTGGGACCATTTCTAGGGAATGTGGACCTGTACAAGCTTGACACATTGCACCTGGGACAAATATCCTCATGGGGGTTTTTGCTAGTTCTGTTTTTGAGGTTTTAAACTTGTATGGCAGAAGAATGGGAACGAAAGCGTAGGTTTAGATGGATCAGATTCAGATCAGGAAACTGGAGATAGAACGTTAGTTAGTGATGTAGTAAGTAATTCAGAAAGGCAAAAGAAGGGAGAATATGCAAGCTGCCAAGGCTGGAATGAAACCTGGGTCCCTGGTGCTGTGAGGCAGCAGTGCTAACTACTGATTCACAGAGTTGCTTTGTGTTAGATTTAGCATTATTATGGTAAAGGGATTAAAAAGCCTCCAGTGAAGGAAGTTGATGGGGTTGAGCTATTTACACCTGAATGCAAGGAGTATTACAAACAAAGTAGATGAACTAAAGACACAGTTAGACACAAAGCATAATGACATTGCTATAACAGAGACCTGGCGAAAGAAGGGGCAAAATTGAGAACTCAATATTCCTGGATGTAGAGTTTTCGGGCAGGATAGAGTGGGTGACAA